CCCTTTAATTTTAAGGAAATGGGAACCTAATATGCATAGACTGGATTACGATTTATCTTGTTTACTTATCTGGATTAACTTGTATAATGTTCCTCTGGAATTGTACACTCAAGATGGCCTTAGCTACATTACTAGTGCTCTAGGAACTCCAATTTATATGGACACTATCACTGCTTCGAAGACTAGACTCCATTATGCTAAGGTTTGTGTAGAGATAGAAGCTAAAGAGGAAATACCTGAAACTGTTAAAATGGAACTTGCAAATGGTCAAACTACTCTAATCTACGTTGAGGTTCCCTGGTTTCCAAGTAGGTGTAGCAAATGCGTTTCATTTGGTCATTCTGAGAAAAATTGCCCTGCTAAACAATCTACTACTCCTACCACTTCGAAAATTTGGTGAAAAAAGTCAGTCTCTACTACTAACACAGAAGTTAAGAATTCTGACAGTAAAGAAGATTTGCAACACCAAAAACATAATACTTCTTCCTCCGAGGAACTTTCAAAACCTAAGATTAGTCATTCTGGAGAAGCTTCAGTTAATCAAACTAAGCAAATCTCCAAAGATGATTCTATAGTTCCTCATAGTTCCCCTGTTGGTGAAGAAAATTCTCCTATTACTCAACTTTTACCTCAAACTGATGATTCTGTCCAAATAGTAAATTCTCCTAAGTCTCAATCTGCTACTGATAAGGTTCAAGAACCTGCTTTTATGCCTAAAAGAGGTAGAGGCAGGCCTATCAAGATCAAACCTAAAATATCTCTTAAAGAGTCAGCAAATCGATTCGAAATTCTTAGTGCAATTGATGAAAATTCACCAATTGCTGAGGTTCAAGTTAGAAAAAGTAGACATGCTGCCTCAGGAGTAGCAAACCTTCTCAAGGAACTAAAAGTAAAAAAGAAATAACAAATGTAAAAGTTAAAAACCCTTTTGAAAAAGGGGGAACCTCCAACTCTCATTCTCAATGAATATTTGCTTTTAGAACATTAGAGGATTAAACAATCCTCAAAAGCAAATAAAAGTTCTCCAAAGAGCCAATCTTTACAAAGTTGATAATCTTTGCTTGATGGAAACCCGTATTAAGTCTGAAAATTCTGCCAACATTTTACACTCTAAATTTGGTAGCTGGAATGTCCTCACCAACTATGAATTTGCCTCTAATGGACGAATTTGGCTTCTCTGGAAAAAAGGAATTGATATCAGTTTCTGTAATTCTTCCAATCAAAGTATTTCTGTCAAATGCCACTTTAATAGCACCTCTTTCATCATCACTGCTATCTATGGCAGTAACAATGGCATTACTAGAAGATCCCTCTGGCAGCATCTCAGAGATCTTAACTCTCAATTTAATGCTTTTCCTTGGATTCTAGGAGGAGACTTCAATTCTTTTCTTCACTATAAAGAAAGCTCTGACTCCAATCTATTAGGACCTTATCTTTCTTCTGATATGAAAGACTTCCTTGATGTGATTCAAGGCCTTCTTCTCCAAGACCATCCATTTTTTGGCCCATCATTCACTTGGAGCAACAAGCAAAAAGATGCATTCCTTGCAAGGAAACTTGATAGAGTTCTTATAAACTCTCATTGGGTCAATTCCTTCACTAAGTCATTTGTTGAATTTCTTGCCCCAGGTCCCTCTGACCATTGCATGGCTATTGTGTGGTTAAACAAAGAAGCTCATACAAACCAACCCAAACCATTCAAGTTCTTCAACTTTTGGTCCAACCACCCTTCTTTTCTTGATGTAGTGAATTTATCATGGAAGTAACCGGTCCAAGGTAATCCTATGCAGGCTCTTTTTTCTCAAACTAAAAAGACTTAAGCCTTGTTTACAAGCTCTGAACAAAAATTCATATAGCAACTTATCTGTTAGAGTCAAACTCAAGAAAACAGAGCTGGAACAATTACAAATCTCTACTCTTAAAGGATCCAGCCCTCTTGATAAGGAATTGTCTATCCAAAATGAGTTGGCTACTCTTGAGGAAGTTGAAAATATGTTTTTAAAACAAAAATCCAAAGTTAGGTGGCTTAAGGAGGGGGACAAGTGTACCAAGTACTTCCACTATGTCATTGCAATAAAAAATAAAAAAGATACCATTAGGGTTCTTGTAAATGCTCAGGGTAAAAGACTTGAATCCTTTGATGATATGTCTACTGATGTCCTTGATTTCTTCAAACAACAATTAGGTTCAACTAATCATAATGTAAAACAAGTTGATACTCACTATTTGAAAAGTCTGCTCCAATTCGAACGGCCTCCTGATTTTTCTTCAGACTTAGTCAAACCTGTTACTAACGAAGAGATCAAAGAAGCATAATTAGCCAAGGAAATAACAAAGCTCCAGGCCCGGATGGATTTACCCCTTTATTCTTCAAAAAATATTGGTCGGTGATAGGAGACGATGTAATCAAAGCGATCAGATTATTCGTTGAAGAAACTTTTATTCTGCCTGCTTTTTATTCTACGATTATAGATTTAATTCCTAAGCTTCATAATCCTAGTTCTGTCAAGGACTACAAACCTATCTCATGTTGCTCAGTGATGTACAAAACCATCTCCAAAATCCTTGTTAAAAGACTGAAAACATTGATGCTCGATCTTATTACTCCAAACCAGTCTGCTTTTGTCCGAGGAAGATCGATAATTGACAATACTATTCTTGCTCAGGAATTAGTCAAAGGATATGGAAGGAAGCAAATCTCTCCTAGGTGTGCTCTAAAAATTGACCTTCAAAAAGCTTTTGACTCTTTTCATTAGGACTTCATTTATGTTACCCTCAAAGCCATTGGTCTCCCATGCATTTTCCTAAGGTGGATTGAGGCTTGTTTTAAAGAAGCCAGATATTGAATTTCATTCAATGTCAGCTTAGTTGGTTACTTTAAAGGGCAGAGGGGGATCAGACAAGGTGACCCATTATCCCGTATTCTCTTTGTACTTGCTATGAACATTCTCTCCAAAATTCTTAATCTAGCTGCTTCTAAAGGGATCTTTGGGTATTATCCTAAATGTAAAAAAATAGGTCTGACCCATCTTTCTTTTGTTGATGACCTCTTAATTTTCTGTAAAGGAAATCCTGAGTCTATTGTTGGGATCATTTCTGTTTTAAATCACTTCTATGAATTTTCTGGGCTCAAACTTAATGCAAGCAAGATTGAACTTTTTGCTGCTGGTATTTCACCTCGAAATCTTGAAGTTATTCACTGCATTTATGGTTTCAAGCAAAGTCATTTACCTGTAAGGTACTTCGGAGTTCCCTTAATCACAAAGAAACTGTCTGATCTTGACTGCCAACCTCTTATGGACAAAATTAAGCTAAGATTATACCATTGGTCTAGTAAGATGCTTAGTTATGATGGAAGACTAGAATTAATTAAAACATTTATGTTCAGTGTGGCTAATTATTGGTGTAGGCAATTCATGCTCCCTCAATCTATAATCAACCGTATTAATCAGTTATGTTCTCATTTCCTTTGGAAAAGAAATGATCAGGCAACTAACGGGGCTAGGGTCAGCTGGTCAAATATCTGTTGTCCCAAATCAGATGGTGGCTTAGGTCTAAAGAACATAAAAACCTGGAACACTGCTTGTATGTTACAGATTATGCGAAAGATTCTGACAGGAGAAGTCTCCCTTTGGATAGCTTGGTTAAACTGTTATGTTCTCAAGAATTCTAACTTCATGGACATGTCTGCTAGTAATGCTCATAGCTGGAACATTAAGAAACTTCTGAAGCTTCGTTCTACTGCTCGTTCTGTTTTAAATGCTGGAACAAAAAATTCCAAGAACATTTGGGAAGCTATCAGAGAAAGAAGAAGTAAGGTATCTTGGCATAAAATTATTTGGTTTCCTTATCATATACCCAAATTTAGTATGATTGCTTGGATGGCCATCTTAGACAGATTGCCAACTAGAGACAAATTGTTAAAGATGGGAATTGTTACTAATAGTCAATGTGTGCTTTGTAATGAAGCTCTTGAATCTAGGAACCATATATTTGCTGATTGTAAATTTGCCAAGTCTCTATGGAATTCCATCTTAAACCTCTCTCAATTGCATAAAATTCACATGCCTTGGGATTCTATGCTAGCATGGGCTTGTAATGACTGGAAGGGAAAATCCCTCATCTCTACCTTATTGAAAATTGCTTGGACCTCCTTCATTTATTCGATTTGGGAGGAGAGAAACAGAAGAATCTTTCAAAAAAAAATCAAGAGAAGCTGATCAAATTCTGTCAATTATCAAGGACATAATCCGAATTCAACTTAGAGGGAAAACTTCAATAGGAATGATAATGTAAACTTAACTCTTAGTTGTAATTAGGGCTTAGTCTAACCATTATTTTGTTGTAAGTATTTGTTTGTACTCCTTTTGGGAAGTTCTGTAGCTACTATTATTCTTTGGATATATAAAATTTACCTATAAAAAAAACAATAAATGTAGGGACTCAAGTTATTTTATTTTATTTTGTAATTGCGAGATCAACAATTAACAATGAAATTGAACAAAAGTTAAAGAGGGGTCACAATTTTTAAGTAAAAATAAGAGTGATTCAATTTCAAAGAATAGAATAAAATTTTGAGACTAAATTTTAAATATTAAAATAGTATAGCTGCCCTGCATATTTAAACCTTTTTTCTTTTTTTTAAGGAACATATTTAAACCTTTAAATATATATATTTAAACATTATAAGTTTAGATGTCAAATAAATATTAAATACAACCAATAACTAAAAGAATATTCAATTGACTTAATTTTGGACTTTAATATAAAAGTAAAAAATAATAATAATAATCTCTAATTGGCCCATTAATGGTAAAAAAGAAGAAGAAGAAGAATAAACCATGTTTTATCAAAGGGAAAGCAGTAGTAGTAAGTAACAAAGTCATAGTTGGAATGACTTGAAATATGCAACAAAACGGCTAATTCAAAGAAATCCATGTACCAAGAATAAGATAGAACATCATTCATCAACTTTTCCAAATATTAAAAACTTTTCTAATGAAGATTAAGGCCTGGGGAATCAACCAACAACTTTACCTTGGAGTTTTAATGTCATCTTATTATGGGATCGGTGTCGTCGTCACCAGGAACGTTTAAGTCGGGAAGTTTTGCACTAGTAGAGAACTTGAGCCATCTTCTTTTCTCGACGTACTTGAGACCAGGTTGCATTACCAGCCCGATTGCAACAGCCACGAGGCTAATCACTGCAACTTTGAGCGAAGAAAGAGCCAACACAACAAAAATCAATATGGTCGGAGGAATGCACATAAGGATTGAGCCGACCGTCCCCACGGGTATTTTGTAAGGTCGCGATGCAGATGGATATTTCATCCTTAACCGAACAAATGCTATGAACTCCAAAATCATCCCGAAACAGTACAAGAAGTTCTCCGCAGCTACAATCTCTTGAAAGCTCAACCATGACAACAATAAAACGCCTGAAGCTGAAAATAGGATCCCAGTTAGAGGAGTTCCGTAGCGAGACCTCTTGCTAAAGAACTCTGGTAGCATCCCGCGCTCGGCCATTCCCAAAAGTTGGAAAGAGTCACTGCTCATCTCAGCCACAAACATCCCCATATTCGACATTGCTGCAGCTGCTTGGATCCACCATCTCAACCAAACTCCACCGATAATTTTAGCAATGTCCGAGAAATAACCATCAGTCCATAACTCACGATCAAGGGGAAGAGCCCCTGTACCAACTAATAGCGGAAAGAAATATCCAAGAACCACCAAGATCAAAGCATAAAACAAGGCATTCGGGAGAGTTTTCTTAGGGTTGTCCACCTCTCCAGCAAGTGTACTAATTGAGTCCCAATAGTTTAGATTCCAAAAGAGTGTATTCAAATATAAATTCCAATCGACATGATGTGTGTCTACGACAAGCCATCTTGAAGGCTCTAATTTTGGAATCGAAACAAGCCCCATGACCACAAAAGGAAGGATCGAGAAAACCCCAAGAAGCACAGCAACCCATCCTACAATGGTTAAACCCCTATAGTTCATGTATGTGAGAACTAAAGTCAAAGCTAGGACAGCGAAGATTCTAGGTAAACCACCTCCTACAGCAGGGATTCCGGACTTCAAATAGTCAAGAAACAAAACGGGATATAAAGCATTATCAATGACCCCACTCAGCCATTTCATCCAGCCTTGCTGAAACCCCCAATAGGGACCTAATGCCGATGAAACCCAAACAACATAACCACCATTTTCGGGGAACATAGTGCCCATCTCAGCAGTAATTAACGCTTCTGGAATGCTCCAGATGAATGGAAACACCAAAAATCCAAGAAGAGCAAGAAATGGTCCAGCAGCTTGGACACTGTCCTCAACCCCGAATGGTCCTCCGGAAACCTCATAGAAGATCAAGAAAATAAGTGGTAAAACCGATACTTTCTTAAAGTTATCTACCGTGGTAGTTGGCGCTTCACCAATAGTAACATATTCAGCACCAAAATACTGCCCCATCGCAACAGAAGCCCTTGCCTTTGGTGTGTGTCTCAATTTCTGCACAAGAATCAAGTCCTCAGCAAAATAGCAACTTGGCTCCTTTATTCCTGGTTTCAAAAGCATAAAGAGAAAAAATTCAAAGAAATACTAAAATATGTACACTTCATGCAAATCAATTGAAACGGTTAAAGTAAATAAATAGCTTACTAGAATTCTGAAAGCACATGAAAATACCAAAAAAAAAATTTCCTTCACGGTAGCCAAAGCTCAGCTGCATATAGCAATATGAAACAAAGCACTTCAAATAGAGATGGATCAGCAGCAACTTTCATGAACAAAAATTATAAAAACATGAACCATGAGTTGAGATACTTGTATCCCAGAAACTCATTGCTTAAAACACAGAACAGAGTTTCCATTTCAAAGAAAGTACATATAACTTTCCCCACAACTTCCAATTGATCGGAAACTGTGTATAACTAAAAAGAAAGATATTTTATACCTAATCAAGAGAGAGGCCAGCTAGTCAACTAAGTTTTCAATGCTCCTCTTCTTCAGGTGTGCATCTGAGGACCTTAGTTTACCTCTTTTCACTCTCACTGGAGTGAAAGTAATCTTCTAAGAAAAACATATTCTAACAACAACTATTAAAAATTTATTTTCTTAGATAAACAAATGAATGAATCATGTTAAAACATTATCCATCCACTCATTTATAACCAATTATCATAAGTTTGCTTCAAGTGCGTGCTATCACTTTATGGCAACTTCTGAGGAACCAAAAAGAAAATAACATGATAGAAGCAAGCAACTAAAACATAAAGAAGACATAATAAACACCAGAAACCAGGCAGTGCATACTTAGGCATATTACCTCATCCTCATTGGAACTTGGATGCTTACTATCACTTTATAGCAGTTAGTGGTTTTTAAGGAATCGAAACGAAAATAACACAGCAAAAGCAACCAACAAAAACATAAAAGCTGAACCATAGCCGGAAACCGGATAGCGGAGGCAGGCAGATTACCTCATCTTCTTTGGACTCAGATGTTGCACGACATCGATACTCATGATACTGAAACAGGTTGATTCTGTGGAGCTACGCAACCGCCAGCTGGTTGACCTGAAGTTTGTGGGTCAACGTAAACTTCCCTGACGCTTCTACCATGCCAAGACCAGATCAAATTCACTCAGAATCAATGCAACAAGTAAACAAAAAAACTGTCGGCAGCTTGATTTACAAAAAAAAACCAAAAACTGAACAAAACTGGAACATATACATTAAAAGATATCAATTTTCTAATTAATTGGCAGTGATTGATAAAGGGTTTGCATAGTTTTCAAAATGGTTTCTTTATACTGTCGGTTAATCGCAGAAATAGCAAAACCAAAATGAACGATGAGTGAATGCGACTTAAAGGGGTTTTGACAATTCGAGGAAGATGACAATTTCCATCGCATTATCCGTGTGGGCAAAAAAAAACAAATTAAATATAATAAAAAGGGCCAGAAAAATGTATTAAACAAATCGGAAGAAAAACAACGAAGAGTTATTACAATAAATAATAGTAATACCTGAGCAGAGCAACACCTTGAATTTGAGTTAGGTTTGCGAGGAAATGGAAGAAACGGCAATTGAATTTTGAAAGTTCGATTAGAGCAAAGAGTGGGATGTGAGTTGTGGTTGGCGGCTACTCGACTCAGCGGTATAAAATGCTCTCAACCTTGACTCAGTGGCCACGTCGTTATTATTCGCTGGATAGAGATTGTCGTCCAGGTTATTTGTCAGCGTTACTCTTTATACTTTTTATTATTTTTTTGTCATTTGGGTAAATACTCAATTTTGACATTCCTTTTTCTGTATTTTTACTGGAAGGTCCTCTTGTTTTCAACTATTTTAACACGTATTTTTTTTAATATATAAATTGTGTAAAATTTAATTTATTTAATTATGTTATTTGAATTTTAAAACATAAAATCCTAAATTCTACTTACTAAATCTTAAAATTTAAAATCTTAATTTTTAAAGTCTAAATATAATTTATGACATTAAAATAGAGAGTCGTGTAAATTAAATTTTACAGAATTAGTGTATTAATTTTTTTTAAAAAAAGTACAGTTAACCTTTAAAAAGTAAATAAATAATTCTAATGTGTATAGATAGTGAAGAAAAAAATCTAATTGTGTAAACAAACCATGATTAAATTTACACCTTATAACTGTAATCATGATTTTTTAAAATTCTAATTATCCCATTAACTTCTCATTTATATTTAAATAATTTTTTAATATAAATAAATATTTTTACTTAATTAGATAAAATAAACATTCGTTATAAATAATAAAATTATAACACCCTACTTTTAAATATAAATAACTTATATTTTTATTCGTCTTAATATAATTATAAGGTGCAGCATCTTTATTTAATTTTGAATATAAATAACTTTATACACATATAAATTAAATTATTCAAATCTAATTTTTTTAAGAAACATATTTCATTCTGAAATCAATTCTTGGATTTAATTTTTTTTTTAAAGTTTAAAAGTGTTTGAGACAAAAGAATTTAAATATGTTTAAAAATACAGATATTGTTATGGTCTCCATGTGAACATTTTCACATGCAAATTGATTGTTGAAAAAGACATCAAATTTGTTTGTCACATTCCGAACAAGCGTCTTCCCTGACATTTTAACATGAAAAATTGAGCCAACATTTCCCCTACCTGCGCTGTGCTCACTCACCACATATGTTTCAGTGTAAACTACGTATTTAGTACTCAATTATCACTTTTGTTCTATGTTGGTCACTCAACTCTTTTATTTTTCGAAGTCAAACTTAACGTTATGTTTTGGTTTCATTCTAATCACCCGCCGTTAAAAAATCAATAGAACTATTGATGTGATATTTTCTTTTCAATAATGATGTAACATTATCTTATGATGAACATCAACATCACCATTATTTTTTTTAATGGCAAGTGACTAAAATAAAATCAAAATTAAATATTTTGTATGATTTTGAAAAAATAGTTAGATGACCAAAACAGAACAAAAATAATAGTTGGAGTACTAAATGTATGGTTTACCCTTTCTTTTATAATTTCAACTTCACTTCTATTTTATTTAGTTTTTATATTTTAATTTTAAATAAAATTGGTTGATTAAATCTAAAATTCATAATGTTAAAAATAATTTTGATGTTTGACTAAATAATCAATTTGATCTTTAATCATGTTTATGCAGTATTTTGGTCTTCAATGTTTCATTTTGGGATAAAATAATCTCTTTGTGGATGAAAACTAAATCAACAAATTGTTAGTACCCTCAAATAGGAGTCTTTTTATCTTAAAATAAAATATTTGTACCGAAAAAATATTCCAAAAAATAATAAAGTTAAAGTAATTATTTAGCCAAATGTTATGAATATTTTTGAACTAAAATGAAACGTTGGAAACTAAAATACTTCGAAAAATAATAGAGATAAAAAACCTATTTAGTCAAACGCTATGAGATTTTTTATATTATGTCAATCTAAATCTAGTTAGTATGATTGTTATTATTATAATATATTAGAATTCGTACATTTAAATTTACTTTTAGATATATTTAAATGTATATTTACTAATTTAAAATAATAAAACGAGATTGATTCAATTCAGTTCGATTCAATTTGGTTTGGTTTTGTTCGTTACGGTTAAGTTCAGAGTAGACTGATTTGGTCGGTTTGGTTGGTTCAATTTATATCATATTGTTTTGGGCCAAAATAAATGGATTGATTGTATAGGCCCATTATGCGGCCTAGTTTGAAAGGCTTGGGTCTAGGTGAGTTTTCCTATGTTGGTGTAGGTCAATCCAGGTACGGGTCGAATTGACCTGGTTCTAAAAACTCCCCCTAATTGGTAGAGGATCCCTACGTGCAGAGGTAGTGCTTTGTTAGGTATGGCTCATAAATATACCGATAAACAAAGAAAATCTCGTAGTGGGGGTTACGATTATGTGGGTTGGGATGCCGGGGCTGCGCCCACGCGGTACGGTACAGGGTTATTTTTGTAAATATGTACCATGTTTATTGATTATAAAAGGAGATGTAACCTAAACCTATGAGACATTGAATTGAATAAAAATTCTAGCGCCGCCTAGGGCACCGAGGACGTAAGCACATTACTGAACCTCGTTAAAATTCTTGTGTTTTTTCCGTTTTTTACCCGATTATTCAACAATTGGTATCAGATGTCAGGAGCCAAATTTGAAGTTACGAAATTCAATAGTCAGGGTAACTTCGGATTATGGCAAACAAGGGTGAATGATCTGTTGGCGCAAGAAGGGATCCTGAAGACTTTGCGACCTACAAAGCCGGCGTCGATGGAGGAGGAAGATTTGGAAGAATTACAACAGCGAGCGGCATGAACCATACGATTATGTTTGGCGGACGAGGTCATGTACCACGTCATGCATCTGTCGTCTCCAGATGAAATTTGGAAGAAGTTAGAAAGTCAATTTATGTTCAAATCCTTAACGACTAAACTGTATCTAAAGTATATTAATGTAAGAACTAAGCAATCGTGAAGGAGTTGGGTGTTCAGCAAGGTGGAGTTTAGTTGCTTTGTGATAATCAAAGTATTATTCACTTGGCTAAGAATCAGTATATCGTGCAAGAACTAAGCATATTAGTGTAAGGTTTCACAAGATTAGAGAGTTGGTTACATCTGGAGAGATTTTGTTTCAGATGGTACATACTGATGAAAATGTCGTTGATATGTTCACCAAGGCAGTTACGACAGACAAGTTCATGCATTGCTTGGACTTGTTGAATGTTTCGAGTTATTAAAGAAGTAAGATAACCCAACCCACATTGAATGTTTCCTAAGGGGCATGATATTCGCCAAGGTGGAGATTTGTTAGGTATGACTCATAAATATACCGGTAAACAAAGAAAGTCTCATAGTGGGGGTTATAATTATGTGAGTTGGGGGTGCGGGGGATACGCCCACGTGGTACAGTACAGGATTATTTTTGTAAATATGTACCAGGGTTTATTTATTATAAAAGGAGATATAACCTAAACCTATGAGACATTGAATTGAATAAAAATTCTAGCGCCGCCTAGGGCACCGAGGACATAAGCACATTGCTAAACCTCGTTAAAATTCTTGTGTTCTTTCCGTTTTCTTTACCCGATTATTCAACATATGTGCAACGACTACAGGCGACGAAAAATTACGAAAAACTCCAATTTTGAAGAAAATGAGTTTTTAAGGCTCTTACCAAGATTGATTCACAACGGTGAATGGTGGAAAGGTTTTGTCCACACTGATCGAGAGTTCTTTTTCCTCACCCTTCACCACGACAATAACAACGATAACAAGAATATCAGTGAACTCAGAAAGAAACGAAAAATTTAATGATATTGACAGTGATAACTAGGCCTATAAATGAACCGAACGAACACAAACAGGGGTATGTTCCTGTTCATTCATTTAACTTTAACCGAAC